GCGGGGCCAGCCTCTCAGCTAACCTCGCTGTGGCCATGGCGACAACACCCGCCTTCACCTGGAAGCCGAGGCTCCTACGCAAGGGAGAGGCAGGCATTTCTCAAATCCGACCAAACAAGAAAAGGGATCGTCAGCCTTCTAAACTGGGGACAGGGAAGGGGACTTGCGTTTGTGAGGCTTCCAGAACCCCCACGGCAGTGCTTCGCCTTTCCTCGGATTATAACATTCGTCTTGTTCCGTCTTGCTGTTTTAAAGAGAAGGTACTTTAATACACAATAAGATAGTAGCAATAACAATAATGACAAAAGTAGATTGAAGGGCATTGTCCCCATTCACAACCTGGAGATGTTGTTTAGGGATATGTACATTTGCTGCAGAGGCCTACAGCACACCACTTCTACTCCTACACACACACACACACACACACACACACTCACACACCAATAGGGTGGTGGGCTGGGCTCAAGAATAGTGAGCCCTCTTAGGTAGTTGCCCTGCCCCAAGTCCTAGCAAATTGGGGTGAGGTGGGCAAGGCTTGGCTGCAGGGGTGGGGTGGGGTCCCAGGCTGCTAAGCAGCAGACAGGACCTTCCTGCCAGCTGTGAAGTGGAGCCTGAATCCAGGGCCCCAGACCCGGGATGACGACAATGCACAATGGCTTAAGTCCTGGCCTTGCCCCTAAAAGCTGTGTTACCCTGGAGAAAACATCTCCTCTCTCTGTGCCTCAGGTACTGATTTGTGAAGCAAGTGGTTGGATTCTAAGATTCCCTTCAGCCAGGATATGTGAGGATCCCAGGGGATGCATTGTGACTAGAAGCAGCAGACAGACTGAGTCCAGGTAGAAATAAGCCTCTCTTGTCCCTGGGAACTGTGGGAGGTGCTTGTCTGGAGGAAGTTGAGTTGGTTTTGCCTCATGTCTTTTTTCTTGGAGAAGTTTTTGCTATAGGGCATGTGTGCTCTCCAGAAAGACAGAGAGAGACAGAGAGACAGAAAGTGAGAAATCACCCCCCCCCAGGGGGATGGCTACACTGCAGTCCCTTCTCCTCCATTCTCCTCTAGGGATCTTGGGCACGCTTGCGCACGTGCCCAGCGTGAGTTTAAGCCACCCAGTCTGGGACTTGAACCGTGGTCGGCTACATGGGAATCCAGTGATATAGCCATTATGCCAACTGCTGGTCCCTTTTTATTGATTTTTTAAAGGTTTTTGTCAGAGGGCATGCGTGCTTGCTAGGGACAGGAAGAAACAGAGCGGAAGTGAGGAATCACTCCCTGTGGGGTAGCCATGCTGCAAATCTCTTTTCCATTCTCCTTTTGGGATTTCGGGCATGCATGCATACATGCCTGGGGTGTTTCGAGTTGCCGGGTCTGGGACTTGAACCACAGTCAGCCATGTGAGAGTCCATCACTTTAGCCACCACATCACCTGCTGGCCCCTATTCATCCTACGTCTTAATTTTCCTGGTTCCACATTACTTACATCTTATTCCTCTTCATGTCCTCACCACCTGGCAGAATGTCCTCTGCTTGGTGAGCCCTCAGGAAATGTTTGCCAGACTAAGTGGAATCAAATGAAAGAGCCCTCTATTATTACGTCCTGGGTATCTGTTGTTATTCTCCATCTACCTATTTCCACCATCTCGCTGTCCCTCTGTCTCTCTGCCTACTTATTCTCCACCTAAGTGCAGGACAGACAGCTGTGATTTGGCCCGCTTAGCACTGTTGGTCCTCACAGGAGGCAGTCGTAATGTCTCATCCTCCCTGCAGATGTGAATAACTGCCCAGCCTCTGCGGAGTTAGATAGATGGCAGAAGTAGGCAACTAGACGGTAACGATAGAAAACCTACACATAAATAAGAAATACACAAATGCTTCTGTTTATTATCTGCTTGCTTGTCACCAAGGTGGGTGAGAAAAGGACTATGGGTAACTTTTTTTCCATTTTCCCTTTCCCTGTATAATTTTTTTCTTTCATAAGCATGTGACATATTTTATTGCCTTTTAAGAGGAAAAATATATATTCGTTACCACCAGGATAGTATCTAGGAAAGACTAAAGTCCAAGATGATCTGAAGTCTGCCAACAATTCCAAGAATACGCAGAAAGGGCTCTGTTATAAAGCTACCCTGTAACTCAGAGATAGGGGAAGGGCCAGGCCTGCTGACTGGGGCCTGGGGCATGGTACACACAGAAGGGAACAGACCTTCGGACAGTGTCTTACGCCTGCAGTGTCTGGCAGGAAGAATTTCTTTACATTTTAAAGGACTGAACCTTGCTTGTGTAGAATGGCAGCCCCGGATGGGGGTTCTAATAGTCATAGATTGCTCTTGGCCTGTGCCCCCAGATCACTCATGTATGAGTATCATGATTTTTTTTTTAAGTCCATCCAATACTCAGTATTTTTTTGACTGGATTTAAATCTACTGTGTTTGTTTTATTTACTTACTTTTAAGGTTTTTGCTATAAGGGCACATGTGCTCACCAGAGAGACAGAAAGACAGTGAGAGGGAAAGTGAGAAATCACCCCACAGTGGGGAATGGCCATGCTGCAATCCCTTCTCCTCCATTCTCCTCCTGGGATTTTGGGCACGCACATACAATGGCGTAAGTTTCAAGCTGCTGGATCCAAGATTCCAACCACGATTGACCATGTGGGAGTCCAGAGCCTTAACCACCATGCCACCTGCTGGCCCTGAGTTAATTTTTTTAAACTTAGACTTGCTGTGTGGCATATACCTGAAGCTCTACCTGAGTTTTTGCTGTGAGGACCTAAAAGAGGCCTACTACCAACACAGGATTCATTACTTACCAACAGCACATTTGGTTATTTTCATAAGTGTGAGATAATAGCAAAGCTTGTAAAAGCACAGCTCATACGCACTGTCGGGTGAACGATAAATCTTCTGTCGGTTTTGCCTTCCTAAGGATCCTGCTTCTTACTGCCTTATTGAGGCCTTTCTTTCCACTAGTGCTCAAAGGGGAGAGGGAAAAACCCAGTCCTGTCACAAATCCTGTTTTTCCTTTAACTGTTTTTTTTTTTTTAGTATTTATTTGTTTAATTTTATTTATTATTATTTTTTAATTGGACAAGAGAAGGAAAGAGGGAGAGAGAAGGGGTGGAGGGAAGTGGGAGAGTAAGCTACCAGGTCTGAGACTCAAACCATGGTCAGCCATGTGGGAGTCCAGCACCTTAACCACCACCCCACCTGCTGGCCCTTTTTTTAAAAAAAAATATAGACATAACAAATGTCCCATAAAGTGAATAACCCCCCGTGTACAGCAGGATAGAATCTTGACAGCAGTGAAAGTCGGGCCTGGAAGTCAGGAGTGCTGGTTCCATCCTCAGCTCTGCTGTTGAATCTTTTTTTTTTTTTTTTTTTTTTGGGGGTTTTTTTTTTTTTTTTTTTTTTGAGAGGTTTTTGCTATAGGGCGTGCGCTCGCCGGACAGACAGAGAGAGACATAGAGACAGAAAGCGAGAAATCACCCCCCAGGGGAGATGGTCACGCCACAATCCCTTCTCCTCCATTCTCCTCTCGGGATCTTGGGCACGCACGCACACGCGCTCGGCGTGAGTTTTAAGCCACCAGGTCCAGGACACGAACCGTGGTCGACTACGTGGGAGTCCAGTGACATAGCCATTACGCTAGCTGCTGGTTCCCTGCTGTTGAATCTTCATGTGAGTCGGAGCGGGGAAGGTCTCCCCTGTCTTAGTTTCCCTAGCTGTAAAGGGAGAATAGTCGACTCTTAGTAGATTGTCATTTCGCCAAATGTGCTGTGTGTATGCAAGATGATTCTAAATATGTCTGTGGGAGCATTTTTTACTTTGATAGGAGTACATTTATTTTCATTCTTTTTTTAATTAAAGAATTGTTTATTTAATTTAATTTATATTTATTTTAGTTTGACCAGAGAGAGAGAGAGAGGAAAGTGAGAAAGCAAACTAAACTGCCAAGTCTAGGACTTGAACCATAGTCAGCCATGTGGGAGTCCAGCACCTTAACCACTATGCCACCTGCTGGTCCTGTTAGGTGTGCATTTTTTTATGGGTTCATATTGGGCTGGCTCTATGGTCATGTGCCAATCAAGAGACATTGTGTCCCCTATGGTGACCATGATTCGAATCTCCAGTAGGGTTGGCCTGAAGCTGGGTCAGCACTCATGCAAGTGCCCAGGATCCAATGGGCCGGAGGACTCTATGGTAAATTAAAAACAAACAAACAAACAAAAAACGAATTTAAGACTTTTATATATTGGTTTACAATTTATGTACATATATATATATATATATAAAAATCTGTGTGTGTGTATCTATAGCTATATGCTATTTCCAGTTCCCAAGAAAGCTCTTTCTGCCCTATCTCAGTCAGTACCCCACCTCACTCCCAGTTTCCAAAATAACTGGTGTTCTGAGTTCTATCAACATAGAGTGAGCTGTGCCTGCTCTGGAACATCATAGAATTAAGTCATATGTTCTATACTCTTCCCTGTGTCTGTTGTCTTTCTGTTCAGCATTATGTCAGTAAAAATGATCCATGTCATTGCACGTAACACTAGTTCATTCTTTTGCATTACCAAATATTAGGTC